CCCTACACATCCATTACCAAAGTTCACAAGAAAAGTACCACCTAACCCCACGCCCAGTGCAGCTCCCCTTCTCTGGCATCTGGACAGGCGGAGGCCTTTTTGGCACAGGGTGTAGGGTGTGTGCCTTTGCTGTGAAAAATGTTAACTTTTCTATTTCAATCAAGGGGAAGATTGGAAGAACATTGAAACTTCTCTCTTCCTACTCTACATGTTTGTGGTTTTCCATTTCTGTGTCTCAGGGCAAGACTTTAATCTTAGAAACCTGGGTCTAGAAACAGAGCATTTCACACACGGCAGCTCACCTCCCCCATCCGCTAACATTACCTAGACCCTCCAGTACGTCCTCTTGACAAGGCAGAGCCCATGAATACACACAGGTAATAAGTTTTACTGACAGAATACACGTGTGGCATACATCTTATAAGGAATCGAAGAGAAACTCTACTCTATTGTAGATACTCTATAGGCAAAAGAGTCACACCTCACGGTTTTGAAGACGTTTCCAAATGCCTAAAAAGCCAAGCAGTGCTTGAAACTCAACATCCGGCTATGTAGGAAAATGTTTGCAAAGTTGCTGACAGCGTGGATAAAGGAGAGCAGTCAGGGCACGAATGTCCCTGGAAGTTTTTCTGCAGGACCACAAGGGTCATGAGGGACTCGATGAGAATGTGCCTTGGATCCCGGCTCATTTCTCAGCGACAAGAACTACTGCCGGGCTGAAGTGGGTAAGGGATTCAAAGGCCAATTAAGTTCTCCCCATGGGCCTCACTACTGGGACGTGAGGGAGGCAGCCCTGACTCAGCTGGGCCTCAGGCGCACCCCAGGCCTGGCACAGGGACGCGGCCCTCCGCGGAAGCACAGCACAGCACAGGAGTAGCCGCCCTGTCTGCAGCTGGCGGGGCTCCCTGCTCCAAAGGCTTGCCTGCAGCGAGCTGGCCACAAGAGGGCGCAGACCCGCCTGGGGCAGGGCAGCGGCACAGACGCAGGAGGAGATGCGCCCCCGAGCAGGTGCAGGCCAAGTGTGCACCTGCACCTGGAGGGGCCGGGCCTGGACTTCCACTACTTCCTCTTCAAGTAACTGCTTCCCTCCCACGGCCGCCCCGCCCCAACTGCCGCCCATGCCCATGCCCGCGCCGGCATCTGCCGTGCCCCCCTGAGCGGGAACCGCCAGCAAGGGACGCTGTGTGCTGTTGCCACAAGGCGTGAGAACTGCCTCTGCGCGCGGCCCACGCGGCCTTAGGCTGTAAGCGCTACCGTAGGGCAAAGGAATGGCTGCGAGGGCCGCTGTCCTGCAGACAGTCCTACCCGGCTGTCCTCCCTTTAAAACATGCACGCCTGAAACAGCCCTTCATGCTTTTCACATTGCAACCCTGCCAAGAATGGACCTGGATGCCACCGCGGTGCAAGACTTTGGGAACCTGGACCCTAAGGCAACGGACCCTCGGGTCGGGGCAGTGTGTCCGTACTCTCGGAGCATCATTCCCTTTCACTCCGTCTTGCTCACCCTTCCAGAAAATAATATGCCCCAGGAGTCGCACTCATTCTCAAGGTCCCATGGAAGATTTCTGGCCAACAAGTGGAAACCTGGGAAATGCTCTTGTGGATACTTTGCTCTCATGCCATCCCTCGAGGTTTTCCTACCTCACCTGCCCTTAGCATGTCTGTACAATACCTAGAGGTCGTCAGTAAACGTGGCTCGCAATGTTTCTTTGAATATGTCTGTTACGCCTCTGAGCAAGACTTGCCATGGAGGGTGGATTTCAGCCCGCAGAGCAGAGAGCACAGGAACCACTATACCCTCCTAGACCCCGTACTTAGAAACGGTCGCGGAATTTCAGGTGTCACTAACGAAAACTCTAGCAGTCAACTCACTGACTTGCAGTTACAGAAGTTTCTCGAGGAGCTTCAGCGAATCTGTTTCTGATGATATGCCGACTAGTACCACTTCTCAGTCCACAAGGTACCTTGAAAAGACAAGGATGGTTTTGAATGGCATACTCTGGGCTTGCACTCGTATCTAAATGGACGCTGGGTATGGTATATCCAAGTCGCTGAAATCCCGGGGCTCACTTAAGAACACCAAAGTCTGCTCTGGTTTCGGCATCTGTTCCTAGTCCACATATGCTTAGAGACTAAGTCGTGTTTGATCGCTACTTCAAATTCCCTAGCAGGCCAGCCTACAGGTTTCCTTCCTGCAGCCTTTGTGTTTTGTGGTAGAGTCAAGTTTTACAGTCTGAGCTTTCTTACTGCACATCCTCTGTCTCAAGAGGTAAAACACAGCAGCCTAGGAGAGTACACTTTGCAAGCAGGATTGCAGTTGCAATACTAGATGCCAATGAAATAGAAACTGAAATAAACCATGGACACGTACTAGTAAAAGTGTTTCCCAAGCAGCGCCAATTCAGCTCGGCATGTTTCATTCCTCTGGGCTAAATTCAGCAATGCAATCTTTTGGATACATTAAATTGTAAGGCTACGTAGACCTCCTCATTCTGGAAGAGCAGCCCACAGAAAGAGATCCCGACAGCAAGCACGAAGCCAGGCATTATAAATATCAGCAACAGTCTTTTAAAAATCGTATTATTTTTGGACCATTAGAGTGCTGAAACCTCTAAAAAAAAAAAACCTTTAAAATAACTTGCACACGTGGGTGGTTGCACGATAAACCTCTGGAAAGATCAAATGGAATCACATCACAGAGGGGTGCCGGCAGAAAGAAAACGGGACGACCAAGGGAAAACTGGGGGAGAAGACGCGTCACTGGGTTTTCCTCTGCTGTGCACAACTTCACTTTTGGAAGTATGCAAAATATTCAATTCCAGTTTTAATTTGTAATGAAAATCTCCAAAGACAGGGCAGCCATTCTATCTTTCAGGTGCAACTCCTCTGTACCTTACTGTAAGAGAAGGAAATTGTTCCCCTGTCTCCCCTCAACCGGCTGTTCTACCTGTGGAGTCGTCTGCTCTGTACACTTGCCTTTACAATCCTGCTTTCGCTAGCTTAAAAAAAACTCATTTAAAAGGGTAAATACGTTACTGTTTAACACACAATGCATTTAGAATGAAAAAGACGAGGTTCCCTAGAAAGCCTTAGCTACAAAGTCATTCCTGGCTGCAGAAAGGGTAGATGACCCTGTCCTGCTGGAGTCTGCAGAGATTCCAAGAACCGACCACACTTGGGAAAAGAAGGGCTGTCTCCGAAAGGACTAAGTGCACGCAGCCGGCAGGCAGATAGTCCAGCCCCGCCGGCGATAGGGACTTTTCTTTTTCTTTTTTTTTTTTTTTAGTTTAAATTTTGATACTTTTCTTCCTGCTCTCCTTTTTATATTGATGAAATCTTCCTTTTAAAGGATTACGGGGAACCAGCAGTTAGCGTAATGGCTATGTCGCTGGACTCCCACGTAGTCGACCGCGGTTCGTGTCCCGGACCCGGTGGCTTAAAACTCACGCCGGGCGCGTGTGCGTGCGTGCCCAGGGTCCCGAGAGCAGAATGGAGGAGAAGGGATTGCGGCGTGACCATCCCCCCTGGGGGGTGATTTCTCGCTTTCTGTCTCTATGTCTCTCTCTGTCTGTCTGGCGAGC